TTTCTTCTTCTCCCTCTTCTTCCCCCTTCTCCCGTGCTTGGATTCATTCGGTGCAGTGGATCAGACTATGTGGAGATAACACAAGCCCAAGGTCAGGGAGGAAGAGACGGAGGGAGACCTACAGCCAATTTACATGAGAGATGAATGGGAAGAAGGGCAGGAAGGGTGGAGGTCGGGGGGCTTGAGACGGGAACTGTGATCTCCTTAGGGGTGCACGCGTGTACGTGTGGGATGGTGCGAGTTTGCGCATGTGTATTTGTGTGTGTGTGCGAGTGTGTGTGTGCTTCTGCGAGAGGTCTGTGATCTCCTGGCCTTTGTGATGGAGATTGGCCCGGCAGGCCTGACCCGATAATGACGCGACGCTCTAATAGCATTCATCCCTTCTACCGCAAAACTACTCAAGCGGAAAAGAGAGAGAGGGAGAGAGAGAGAAAAGGGGGGGGGGGGAAATAAAACAAGTGTGAGGGGTAGATGCTGGTTTGCAGGGGTGTGTACAGAGGAGGGGGAGGCAGGTGGGAGGGGGAGGTAAGCTAAGCTATGTTTAAGAAATGACGCCGGGCCCAAATCATTTGTAATCTCAGAATCGGCGTGGGGAGAGAAAAGAGAGGGGAACCTTAGACGTTGGTGTCGAGGTGCGTGCAGAGTTGTGCGCGCGTGTTGCAGGGAATGACATTAGAGTTGTGTGTCTGTGTATATAACATTAGCAGTAAATGCACTCTGCCTGTGTCTCCTTTCTCCCTCTTTATCAGTGTGTATTTGCTGTGGGCGCTGAACCATGGAAGGCTTTCAGAACACTGGCCCATAGGGGAAGGGACCCTGTGTCCAACACACACACACACACACACACACACGCTCACAGTTACTTATCATACAGGGTCATTACAGGCTCTAACTATACCTCGGTAATCACCGGTTTATATCAGCAGCCATATTCACCGCGGCCCACAACAATGGAGGGCGTCGGAATGGTGGCAGAGCACAGGGACACCAGGAGACAAATCCGATTTTGAATTCATATAGGTCATATCAGCTCACTAATAACCAGCTCTTTTTAATTTTCCATCTCTCCTCAGACTAAAAATGGTCCTCCCGTTAAGAAGACTGGGACAGACAATGGTCGATACCCTGCCTACTGCTACAACTGCTCCCAGAAGGGCCACTTCGGTCATGTGAGTACCGCGCTCATTCATTTGATTACAGCAGCATGTTCAGCCAAATGTGAAAGCAGAGTAACAAAGAAAGCAAACACCACCTACTTGATATACAACTACGACTAGGAAACTATCTGTATAACGTGTTTAAAAAAGAAAGTTTTCCCCCAAAAAATGGTAGATCGGAGCATACTTGGAAATAAATGAAAAAACGTAATAAAAGTTTAAAAAAGGTAATTAGCTTGAAAGTCAGTGTTTGACGTGAGCATCTTCATTCTGCGACCCAGCCCGAATCCTCTCAGACAGTCTTCCCTCATTTCTTTGAATAGTCCTCATGAATAGTTCTTCTGTATTCTTAAAGGACATCCCAAAGCCCGTCTTTGGATGTTGGGCCTTTTATTTATATTTTCCCATTCTTGGTCAGAATCATCCCCTAGTGCCTCAAAAGTCTCCAGGCTGGGCGAGGATTCATGTCTGATAACGACTTGTTGTAACTGTTAACGGTTGTTGGTTCTTGGGTCATGTGGCACATGTCAGCCTTTCCTCCCTGCTTCACTTCCTCCCTTTATGCACCATTTATTTGCTATGGATGGCTTTTTTTAGTCCCACATTTTTTCATCCTCTAGTTGTGTAATTTCCTCAAATTCTTTTAAGAGCACAGTCCAGACCAAGCTCATAAGGAGGAGCAGTGCTTCTTAAAGTATTTAGTATAGATCATTTAAAAAAAATCATTTGATGATGGTCTTGTTTTGGGTTTTTTTTGTTTGTTTTTTTCCCCCACCAAAAAATGTCCCAATGTGAGTTTATGTCATTGTTTATTATTGTTGGTCATTTTTCTGCATCTTTGTGTGTTTTACTCAGGAGTGCATGCGGCAGAGGATGTTCAAAGGAGTTTATCCCAGCATCCCATTCATCTGCCACTACGACAACATGGAGGACATTAAATGCCGCCTGCACAGGACTAAGCTAAAGGCTAAAGGCAAGTCCCACTTACAAATAGTAAATACATAAAGGAAATTTCACAGAGGGGTTACTTTTTAAAAAAATGTTGGGGGGGGTTCTCTGTGAAAAAAGAACCGTTGCATTCAGAAAAATAAATGGGAAACTTTGCTTGAATGGCTTTAATTCCTATCTTTGAAATTAATTTCCACTTTTTTTTTTTGTACCAGTGCCAAAATATAATTTAAAGTGAATTCATATGTTACCAGAAAGTTCCTTCTGGCTGGAATTGACACGAACAAGAGACAGTCAGCTGTGAGGCGTTGAACCGAATGGGTTTATTTTAGTTTTCATGGTTTGTGGCACATTTTGATGAAACCATTCTCTCTGGATCTTTATGAGTGATCAGTGGGAATGCGTTTATTGGGATTTTTGGTTCACCCCTCATTGTGGTGATCGGCAATGGAGGACACATGAAGGTTTTGCAGTTGAGGAAAAATGTAATTTTGGTCAGCAGTTTTGCTTCCAACAAAACAAGGACCAGAACCATCCTGCCAAAGTTTTTATCAGTTTTATCCAGAATATTAACTCTGGATAAACAAAAGTAACTATGTATGAAGATTTTGGATGAGTGGGAGTGACAGTGAACTTATCGTTTATATAAAAGTTATGTTAATTCATGTATTAGCTAACAGGAAATTTACAAGTGGTGTGTTATTGTGTTTCCTTCATACATACATTTTTTGTGGTGTTTTCCATGAGCAAAAACATATCAAAACAAAAGTCATCATGAGGTGTTTCTTTTTTTTTCAATAGGAATGAGGGAAAACGGCTATTTGTCAGGTCCCTCTCAGACCCCTCTCACCCCAGGTCCACTGAAGAAGAAACAAAAAGTCAGTCATTACAAAAACAACCACCAGCCTAACGACGGACACCAGCGAACGCCTAAGAACCCCAAATCCAATCCCAGCCATATCTTTTTCCATGACAAGTTCATGGACTCAACGCCTAAAACGAAGAAACTCAAAGAGCGGGAAAGTGGTGGCCACGTCAAAGCGTGGAAACCTAAAAGGCCCGTGCCCACCTCAAGAGGGCCACTCCCAAAAGCTAAACTAGTTTTAGATGAATCAGATGACTTGCCCAGAGGGGGAGGACCAGAGGAAAACGCAGAGAGGAGAAAGGGGAAAGGGAGGAATAGGAAGAAAATGAAGGGTCCTCCTTTATCTATGCCAGACAGACAGAGAGACACCAGACCAGAGCAGTTATTCAGGACTGGGAAGAAGCCGAGGCCGACACCGAAACAGCCAAAGGTCGAGAAGAAGAGGAAATGGAAAAATCGTGCCGACAAGCAGCTCGGAGAACAGATGTATCCAGACGATGAGGACCTTTTCACGATTAAGCAAAGGAAACGCCGCAGATAGCATCACTCAGTCATATTTAAGGACATTTGCTCACTCAGGTTGTACAGCAGAGGCTCTGGAGGACAGTAAGGGGACCTTACAGACATTTTGACGGGTCAGTTGGAAAACTACGAGCAAGATTAGTTAGCGTTAGAGTCCCCTTTGTTAATTTTTTTTCACACCAGCTCATAGCCCCTGTTCTTTTACTGGTATTAGGAGTTGGAGTCAGAGACATCTTTGAGGTTTGCAGCTGTTCTGGATCAAATTGCTCAAACATTAGAGGTTACTGTTAAAACTGAAGTTGTCAATTAAAAAGGTAAAGATGTTGTCAATCTATTGATTAATTGTAAGACTTTCAAAATGCCATGAAGTATGTTCAGTATAGGGTGCATGTCATAAAAAAAAACTGGGAACCATTTAGCTTTTATGAAGTTGCTCACACAAGAGTTATTTGTGTATTTTTTAATACCTTTATTCCAGAGAGGTACAGAAGTTGCAACGTACAGTAAGCTATTTTAGCCTAAATGGTAAAGCAGAAATACTGAAAGTGTTTCTGCTTAAAAGAATAAAATTATGAATTATAAAAAAAGGAAATGGATATCTTTCCCTCGGATCCAAAGAAATTGAGTGTTTCTGTAACTCTTTGCCATGTAATCGATCTAAGTATTGATTAGACTCTGTAAGTGGATCTATTAACGAACACTTGCTGGATTTGGGAGAGATTTCACCCATCACTGACATCCTTGATATTTTAAACATCTAATTTTGAAACAATTTGTGCTTTATATTATGTTGTACTTAAACGCTGTTTGTTCATGACAAACTGAAACCCTCACAAGAAAGATATGGAAACAGTTAAATAAATAACAGCGGGCCAAACTGTCCGGAAGAAGTCAAACTTGTGTCTTTGCTGTTTGGATCAAGGAGCTGCTTTTCTTAAGATCCTCCGGATTAATTGTGGGTTATTTGATCCTACCTCTGCAGGATTTAATTCTGTGTAATGCAAGCCTAATTCAAATAAGTTCAGCCCTTTTCTCACAATTCAGCCCTTTTCTCACAATTCTCAGAGATCAATTCTTTACTCGCAAAGATTGTTGAAAATGTGCATCAATATCAGCAGTTTTATTTATGACGGAAGCTGTTCCGAACAATTGGTAGAGGGTCAATGAAACCCTGGAAAAGAAAGAGAAGAGGGAGCTTGTTGGGAAAAAAACTAGCAACAGGTCAGTGATAGACTGGTTAAAAAAATAGTTCCTGGGACACTTTCCCAACTCAGCGTTCTGAGGAAAAACATGTAAATTACACACGTGATGCCAATCAGGATGTGCAGTCTTACCTTGAAACGAAAGTGTTAAAATATCAAACTCGAGTCCTCTTTGTCAATTCGAATAGTGTATCAAATTGACAAATTATAAACCATTGTTCATGGGATCGAATGTCCCACCGTCCAAAATTGCAACTTTCCCAGCGGCCTTTGAACGCCCCACAGGCGTACTGGCCGTGACGCAACACGTTGTCACCGCCCCTCGTCAACGGAGTAGCTAGTAAAGTCAGGTGTCTTCATCTCACAGCTGGATTTTGGTAGAAAAAGGCTCCAGGAAGTCACCAAGCGCCTCGTATGACTACATAGGGAGAGCGGGACAGAGCCTGGAATCGACCCAGTAAGAATTATGGAAAACGGTGTGACCGGTGACGCTAAGCTGGACCAGGCAGTCCGGCAGTGGCTGCAGTATGACAAGGTAAAGTGACAGCTAGCCGCTTAGCTAAAGCCGCTGGATACACGGATAAAGCTAGAAAGTCGGGCTGATTTAAACGGATATTGCTTTAAATCTCAAGTATTTACATTAAAAAGGGTTTAAATACCGTGTATCTTTACGGGCAGAGTGGACGGTTTTCATTGACTGGTTGTTTCAGTATTTAAAATAATTTTGAAACCGATCTGTGATGCAACCAGTAGCTAATAAGTAACGGTGTTCATTCTGGCTTGTTACAGGTACAAAAATGTTAATTCATTATAAAGTCATCAATTGTTTTAGTGCTGGAGGGTGTATTAGCTGCCTTGCTTCAACTGCCTCTTCGACTAATTTAAAGAGCTGTTTTAAAGTCATCGCAGATGTGCATCATTGGTAAAAACCTGACTTATTCCAAAGATGCTTATTTAAAACTCGTTGCTTTTTCACACAGCCAAGTGTATATATTTGTATTGCTTCTTCTATTTTTTCAACCGTTTAAATAGATAATGATAGGGTTCAGATGAACTCTGAATAAGGTTTTCTCTTTAACTTGTAAGGGATGCCCAAAAAAGATCAAGAAAAGACCGATTTAATTATTCAAGCATAAAAAAAAACTCAAATCGGAGCAGAGATCAACAAAGAACGCCTGTCATCTTCATAGTCTTTCACATATTCCCGCCAAATCTTTCCTCCAATATATTTTATTGGTCATATAATGCAGTTATCAGTTTCATATCTTATTTGTAATCAGCAATTACAAATAAGATATCAAAGCAGTTTTCATAATAAATCATGGACCAAGAAGCCTGTTTTTTTTTCTTTTCTTTTCTTTTCATTCACACTCATCAGCTGACTCTGCAGCACAACCACACACACACACACACACACAGAAAAGGTTTGGTCACACGATGCACACTCACTCAAATCAGACTAAGATGGATTTGAACATCTGACCGAAGCAAGCAGAGTTGTTCTTGGCTTTAAACAGAAATGGGATGCCACCAATTAGGTCACATTGGAGTAGGGATTCATCAGTCTCAGTGTGGTGGCTTCTAACCAAGGTTTCTCACACACCGTGCTGAACAGGAAGTGCGTGACTACATGGATTGTTTCATCGTAGTTACGGTCAGAAAGACCATTTTTGAGGTAAAAAAAGCAAATTCACTTGGTCAAGTGTGAATGGTTGTCAGTATTTTTGGTAATTAGATCACAGAAAATGGAGGTGGAATTTGACTGGTCCATGGGACATGTAGACAAGATCTATTCCATAATAACTCTGTTTAAAATCACACACTTGGTCACTTGGTTACCAGAGAGATTATATAAGTGTGTGTGTGTGTGTGTATATATATGTATGTCCTGTAATCTTAATGTTATGGCAAGTGACACAGGTTTAAGTTCCAGTTATAAAGAATGTCCTTGATCTGTTCGGAACTTTCTTCCTCAAAATTGTGACTTCTTTTTGTTCCTCAGAACCCCAAAACAGCTTCAATGGTGCAGGATCTCGTCAAGGAGGGAGCAGTGGAGGCTCTTAGGAAGTGCTTCTCTTCCAGGATGGAGTTTGGTACAGCAGGACTAAGAGCTGCTATGGGCCCCGGCACATCCTGCATGAATGACCTCACTATCATCCAGACCACACAGGTTGGTTAATAGATAAACCCCCGCTGCACATTAAGCGTGGAGTCACATGAACGAGTGGCCCACGTGCGGCCTTGAGACAGCTCAGCACCTGGCTAATTTGCATATTGATATAACCGAGCGCATCTCTCAGCCGTCCCGCCTTTAGTTTCATGTCACTGATAATACATTCACAGCTCCTGATTTCCACGCAAGAATGAGCCCGCAAGACAGCAAAATGACTGAATTAGTCGGACATACTGTCACAGCAGCATGGGCAGATGGAAACTGGAAACGGGGGGAGGGGACAAACCGTGCCGCGTTCACTGACATTGCGACATAAAATGCTGTGTTCACTTTCATTTTGAATTGAATAAATAGTTTTGTTAAATATGATCGTTGCTACTCTAACATTCTCTTTGTTTGATTTTCCTGCTCTTTGCATTTCCATTCCCCTTGTCTGCTTTCTAACAGGGTTTCTGTCGCTACCTGGAGCAGAGCTTTGGGAATCTTAAAGAGCGAGGTGTGGTGATCGGGTACGACGCCCGCTCCCACCCTCCCAGCGGCGGCAGCAGCAAGCGGTTTGCCCGCCTGGCTGCAGCAGTTTTCAGCAGCCGGGGCGTGCCAGTCCACCTCTTTTCTGACATAACCCCAACACCCTTTGTGGTAACCACTGGATTTTCTGTGTTTTCCATTGAATATTAGTTGTTGTTTTCTTTTATCATGGTGAATAACAAACCTCTCATTTCTAAATTAGGCTTGTTGTGGGGTCACCACTCCATTTTAGATATGAACACACAGTTTGTGAATGATTAACAGTGCTTACAAATTGTATATACATTTGACTTGAAAGAAAGTATATTTTTGATTAAGCACAATATTCTTACTCATTTGAATAATTTTGATGACATAGTAGGATCTCTTTTAATCTGTTGGTCCTGATTTTCATCTCATTTCCATAGTTTTTTCAAACTATTGTGGATTATAGAAACAGAACAGTACAATATTCTAATGAGTTTAATTTACCTACAATTACTTTCTATTTTCAATGTCCCTGCAGCCTTTCACAGTTTCCCACTTAGGCCTGTGCGCTGGAATAATGGTGACCGCCTCGCACAACCCAAAACAGGACAATGGATACAAGGTAACTCTCATTCAGCTATTATTGATGGCATTTCCAGCCCAGGCCGTCGTTTTGCATCAGGTGGTAAACACACAATCGGCCTCTGTTCCAGGTGTACTGGGAAAACGGAGCCCAGATTGTATCTCCTCATGACAAGGGGATCTCCAAAGCCATCGAGGAGAACCTGGAGCCTTGGCCAGAGTCCTGGAACACCGAGGAGGCCCTGAAGAGCCCCTTGCTTAAAGACCCCTACCAGGATATCCACACACAATACTTCAAAGCCATCCAGAAACACTGCCATCACAGGTGCCTCATAGGCTAACCTTTGACCTCAGGAGTCATGTGAAGCTGTCCAACAGCCACAGCCAGGCTGGGACATTTATGCAGACAAAAAAAAAGACAAATCTCTGTTAAACATGCAAGTTTTGACTTATTTCATTCACAGGGAGATCAACAAGAGCTCAGAGGTGAAAATAGTGCACACATCTGTGCACGGCGTCGGTCACTCTTTTGTGCAGTCGGCGTTTAAGGCCTTCGATCTCCCCCCGCCGTACGCCGTGGAGGAACAGAAAGACCCAGACCCCGAGTTTCCCACCGTCAAGTACCCCAATCCCGAGGAGGGCGAGGGCGTGCTGGTGAGTGCTGGCCATGCGGGGACGTGCGGGAGACGCTCTGCCTCGGTAATCCGTGACACGCCTGTGTGTGATCGCTCCGCAGACGCTGTCATTTGCTCTCGCAGACAGGGAGGAGGCCTCGGTGGTGCTGGCCAACGACCCCGACGCCGACCGCCTGGCTGTGGCTGAGAGGCAGGAGAGGTGGGCCTTAACATAGCTCTCGTGTGCTGCTAATGCCACCTTTCAACAGCACGTTAGTGTTGAAGTTAAAAGCAGCATGTGGCCGTCTGCTCTGTCCCATGTCTCTCATTCCATCCAACCCGCTCTGCAAGCGAGGAGGCACGAGTTTCCCTTCACGCTGCAAAGAAACTCTGAAATGACCACGAGTCCCTACAATAGGAGATTAACCGAATCTGGCTGTTATATTTAAATAAAAACATTTAATAATACATGCAATGAATGGTTAACTTGTTTTAAATTGTTTTACTAGACCATCTCCTCCAAAGTGAATTAGCCTGCCTTTTACTACGAATAGAATTAACCGGATATCCTTAGAAATGCCAGAAAAACCCATTAAATGCTACACAATTGGCTTCACGAGTCCTCCTTTTCCTTGATATGAAACTAAGATCCAGAGTAAATTCGCGAAATTCCACCGTGTCAGCTGGAATACTTGAATTCAGAAGCCTCTGTCTCTCCTTGTGTGTGCCTCAGAGGACAGTGGCGGGTGTTCAGCGGTAATGAGTTGGGCGCGCTGCTGGGCTGGTGGATTTTCCACTGCTGGAAAGAGCGGAACCCCGACGCAGCCGCTGTGAAGAACCTCTACATGCTGTCGAGCACCGTCTCTTCCAAAATCCTGCGAGCCATCGCTCTGAAAGAAGGTTTCCACTTTGAGGTAACGCCCTCGCATTTCACTCCCCTCATTTCATATCGCACGTTGCCAGCAGCAATACGCTAGGGAGCATTTACAGAGAGTTCAAGGACCTGTCCCACATGCTGTGTGCTGTTGCTCAAACATTCAGGTTTTTGCACAAGGGCTCCTGGTGGCAAAACTTTACTACAATTGACACGCTTTGTGACATCAGCACAACCAAAAGAGACAAAGGAACTGTTTTAACCATGGATGAGATAAATAATACAGATATGACACAAATAGGTCAAATGAATTATAAGAATTGATGCCATTTTACATGGCCCTAACACTCTGTCCCAACCTCAGCTTAAGACCACTGCTGCCTGACTAGATTTACTTTTGTTTGAGTCAAATCCACAGGTGAAGAGAAAAAGGGGGACAAAAATGGAACTGTCTTGCTGAGTGGAAAATTTGGTTGAAAATTGTGAAATAATAAATGTTTCTTTGACATCGACTTCACATACAAGATGGAAAATAACTTTCATTGTGCATTAAGTATAGCAGGTTTCTTTGTTGTGAAATTCACTAAGTGAATGTTTATAGTTGCTATCATTTGTAGGCTCTACCTCTAAATGTCAAATCTTTGTTTGTTTGTTTTTGGCTGAGTTTTCTCTCATTATGTGTGGACAGGAGACGCTGACAGGGTTTAAGTGGATGGGGAACAGAGCCAAAGACCTGTTGGACCAGGGCAAGACTGTTCTGTTTGCCTTTGAGGAGGCCATAGGTATGCACGTGCTAATTAACCTGAGAAGAAGAAGTGAGATCACAGGGTAGCTATTAAGCCAGAGGGATCCTCAGAGCACATGTTTATTTTGCACCGACACAAACACTCATTTATCTCATGGGATACCAGAATACTCTGAGTAGAGGCACCTAAACCTCACGGCCTCTGCTCAGGTCAGACCTTGTTGAACAGTCGCTATCATATTAGAATTATGCATCCGGACTGATTCAACTACCGTCTTCCTTAAAGTTTTGTGCCGTGAGTACAGTCAAACACAAGGCAGTGGGCTAAAGGTAAAAGTCAACCGTTGGGTTAAGACAACACATGGTGCGATAAATACACACAGCATAGTTTCAGAGCACTCACAGATAACAAGATAATGAAGCTGTAATTGGAATCGCATGCCTTTGCTCACACGGCGTTATTAAAAGAAGCAACAGCTGACCGCAGCAGCTGGGGAATGAGGGCCCGTCGTGAATTAACCTGTGTGTGTGTGTTGCAGGATATATGTGTTGTAACTCGGTTTTGGACAAGGATGGAGTGAGTGCTGCGGCCATAGCAGGGGAGATGGCCTCCTATCTGGCCACCAAAAACCAAAGCTTCTCCCAACAGCTCACTCACATTTATGAAGAGTAAGATGCAAAGATGGCCACATTGAACCTGTCTAGGTTGCCGTGGCATTCTGACCCCCTGACTCTGCCTTTCTCACCGTCAGGTATGGGTACCACATCAGCAAGAACTCCTACTTCATCTGCCACGACCAGGCGGTCATCCGCAGTCTGTTTGAGCGCCTGCGCAACTTCAGTGGCAAAGAGGACTCGTATCCGAGCGAATGCGGACGATTCTCCATCACCGCCGTGCGAGACCTGACTACCGGCTACGACAGCAACCAACCTGACAACAAGGCTGTGAGGAGACACGCTCACACAAACAATTCTGCGTCCCTCTGATATCCTGTTTTTTCCCTTTTGTTCTCTGCTAAATGCCAAGCTGCAGAGGTAGAAACCAGAATCAGTGTGGCTTCATGGCTCTTACTCTTAAACAGATAAAAAAAAATGGCATATGTTCCATGCTAAACTACTCAGCCAGTTTGTGTTAGAGAAAAGCAGCATTAAAAGCTGCTGGCTTGTTTCATCACATGAAATACTTTTGTCAAACTGTTTATCCGGGCCTTAGAAGTCCCTCCAGTTTCTTCATCGTCTTCTTGGTCTTCCTCCTCCCGTCTCTCAGGTTCTTCCCACCTCCAGCTCCAGTCAGATGATCACTTTTACCTTCTCCAACGGGGGTGTAGCCACCATGAGAACGAGCGGCACCGAGCCGAAGATCAAATACTACACAGAGCTCTGTGCGGCTCCTGGGAACAGGTGAGTCAGAACAGAGGCAGGAGCAGCAGATAAGCAGTTTTATATCATGGTACATTGGAGAAAAATGTTAAATGCAATTTTTTAAATATTGTGTAATCCATGATCTACCTAATAAATCATAATAAAAATAGAATATTCTTTGCATTATTATTCCAATCTTTTCTTTACCATCTGAATAACTTTGTTTGAACAATGAGCTTTAATCATTGACATCAACATGTGTTTTGTTTCCGTCTCGTTCGTCTGGGTCTGCATCAGTGACGTGGCGCTCCTGAAGAAGGAGCTGGACGACTTGGTTGAAGCCATTGTGGAAAACTTCTTCGAGCCGGCAAAGAATAGGCTGCAGCCCAAGCCCGAGTAGTGATATCAGACGGAATGACCACACAAGTGTTTTCGTCTATCTCTGACCAGCATTTTCCATCATGTCTTAATTATTCCGGGAGAGATCCTCTGTTGAGTTTGAACCAGAAAAAAAATTCCATTCTGTATTGTAATTTAATTGTTACTTTAGATTATTTTTAATGATCTGCATCTAACCTCTACTATAAACTTGAGTTTTAACCATGGATGCTTTGGTTTTATATTCCCTTTTTTTGTTTTTTCCACATGGCGGTGGATAAGATCTGGTCTCCGGCTGGCTTGTGTATAACAATAAGCATTCCTAAACACACAGAGCTTAATGTCACCTGCACTGCTGCTAATATAAACAAATACCTTAGAATACCAATGCTGAAAACTATTTGAAGGTGTACACTGCCTTTGCAATTTGAACGTGTAATATCTTTCTGTGGTCGCCAACAAGGAACATGGCACAGATTTTAGAGACAGAAGTCTTTTCAGCTTAAATAAATGATGGGAAACGTGCAGGGAAAAGGTTACTCTAGGTTTCAAGAGTACAAATTCACTGCTCACAGTTACAGCACCACCAAGTGGAGCCATTGTGGACGACCTCAACACGCCCACCACCACACATTCCTCTGCATTGCTGCCTGCAACATCTCAAAGGGACTGAACTGAACATTTCCGATAAATAAGAGTGACTTTGTAGAGTGTGTGTGTGATTTCTCAGAAATTTGCAGGGAGCTGATTCCTATTTTGAGCATTATGCGTGGATTCCACCGAAATACTGTGCCAATATGTGATTTTAATCCCTAAAATAAAATTAGTTTCAAACTCTGTTAATGCTTCCTTGTTTTTTTTCTTCTTCGTGAGTCTGAGTGCTCACCGCATCCTTCTCAGCGCGCGCGAGCACTTGTCACTGACAGGAGGAGGAGGAGGGAGGAAGGGGGGTCTGGGTTGGACATGTCCTCTAAATTTAACTCGGACTGCAAACGGCGACAGCGGTGTAAAGGTCTCCCTCTCCCCTCTGTGTACGCGACGTGTTTATCTGGCCGAGCTCCTTTCCGTCCAGCCCTTCTAAGTTACTTTTATTTACCGCCGTGAGGAGAACGGACGGCAGTTAGCGGACAGGTAAGGCTGTGCTGAGCGGAGGAGAAGGGGAGAGAGACGTTCGGTTGTGGGACTAGTTTTGTCTTCTTCTTTTTTTATTATTGACTACATGCACGCAGTTTCAACAAACTGCCGCCTCGTGGGCGAAACGTACTCGTGTTTCAAATAAGAATTGAAAGCGGGTGAACGGTGGCATGTACAGGAGACGGCGCACATCTTATATCTAGTTCCAACTTCCGCATGATGTCGCCTCGCCGCGGACGGACCACCTTTCGTCACCGATGTTGGAAGTTGGGAATTTAAATGAAGTGGCAAGGTCGAGCGGGAGGCAGGTGGAGAAAGGGGCTTTTTCCTTAAATGTTACAGAGCACCTCCCGAATGCTTTGCTGTCGGGTGTGTGTGAGTCGCTATCCGTTGGCTTTCGTCGTGAAGGCGCAGTTTCAAACCGTCACCCCTCTTCTCTGCGGTTGTGAGAATCCCTCAAACCTCTCCATGTCTGACAGTTATCAGCTGGGGGATGTTCACTGTTTATCGTGAGGCAGTAAAAGCCACTCAGCTGATTTAGTGTCCTGGGAAAACTGCCCTGCTTCAGTACGAATAAAACAAACCAAAAAAAAGATCTAACGACATCTTTATGAGACTTTAAATCTGGGAAGGTAAACAGGACGGGCCCACACATATATGGCTGCTGTCCTTTTTGAGTGCTGTGTGTAAAGGTCTCTGACGCCCCGCTGATGTGTTTGCAGGTGAGGTGGAGGCGCACAGCTGCCATGGACGGGCTGTACTTTGAAGTGAAGCCTAAAGGAGGTGAAGTGCAGAGGCCACGGAGCTCTGATCAGCCCACTCCCCTTCTGACCTCCAACAACCGTTCCTGTCCGTCACTTTTGCGACTGACCTCTTCCTCTCAGAGCCTTCACAAATGGCCAGGGCAGGTGGATGTGGAGGCAGGGGAGGAGATAAGGTACCAACTGACTTTGACTGGTTGTCGGCCCGTCCACCAGCTGACCACCATGGCCATGCTGCCCTGGGTGGTGGCTGAAATCTGCAGGTCGGCCGGGAAGGAACGAGCCGCCGGGCCGCGAGGTGGTCGGGGCGGGGGAGGTCAGTTGGACCCTGCTACGTGCAATAAGACAGTTCTGCTGTGTGTTTCGGCGTCCTCCGTGCGGTGTGTGTCTGCTCTGGGAGAGCGACGCCTCTGGGACCCCCTGACGCACACGGTGCTCTTCGAATGTCGCCCTCACCAAGTGACCAAGCTGATTCACAACAGCCAGGAGCCCAGCAGCTTCGCCTGCCTGGTGAGAGACGCCCCAAAGTGTGCCTGCTATGTCTTCCAGTGCCAGGACAGCACCAAGGTAGGTGTGAATGAAAACCAGAGTCTGAAGCTGAAGACATATCCTCATGTATGAGGTTTCTTAACACAGATTGGGGAGTTTTTATTTTATTTTATTTTATTCCGAGTGTCGATACATTTAACAAAAAATGTTTTTTGGAGTGTTCCCCAACTGAGTTGTATCTTGGCAAAGAGTTTTAGCTGCGCTGAATATTTCCCATGGAACAGCTGACCACTCTGTGGGCCACAGTTCAACTAAGTTTGTCAGTTCTCGTGAGTTACCCTGCATTTTGCGATACATTTACTCTGGTCACTCTGCTCTGACAATCACTCTTTCCACCGGAGGGATTTTCTTTGTCGACAAGGTCAGCTGTGAACTGTAACAAATACTGTTTTGATGCTGAGCTGGGACTTATTTCTTAGACACAAGCCCCTCAATCCATGCTGAAGCTGAGCTGGCCTGACAGTATCCAGTGACAAAGCCGTTTGAGGAGCTTCCAGTTCAAATTAGACATGCGTCACGGCGGTTCCTTCCAATGCTTTTCCTTTCTGCTGCCGATGACAGTTTAGGTCTTCCTTATAAATCAAAAAGGAACGAACTCGGATGCCAAATGATGGGCAACAAGACCCCATAAGAATGCTTCCTTCAGCCGCGAACAGAGTGAGCTTTTCATAAATCAAGGGGATGGGGCTCGTAATGAGGAATGTATGTTAGTAAATAAACACATCAACACAAACTATAAATGTGGAGGCTGTGTAAAAGAGATATGGCATGTCGGATAAGGGGAGCCTGACATAAGGAACAGGGGTCAGTCAGTCTGACAACAGTTCTTTCCCTGTTTTTATTGGTGTGACCAAAAAGTTGGCAGGGGGTTGAATGTGACCGTATCAGTATTTGTGGTGACATCCCGCAGAGAGAAACTGGATCTGGCTCCGGCCTTGCAGCAGCCGACACGTGCTGGGCTTTTACTCCATGCAACAGCACGGGCTAACACCCCACCCCTCCAACACAGCGGCTATGAGCACGCTCTGCTGACCGGCACGCTCCTGACCTCTAAGCCTTCCTCCCCTCCTGCACCTGGTCGGCCCACCCGAAGGCCTTTGTAAGACCAGTGGAGGTCCAGCTGGCCCCTGAGTTGGCTCTGAGACATTTGACGGTGTCCTTTACCACCCATACAGGAGACAGAGCGGTTTAGTGGACGTGAAGACTGAAGGAGGGCGAAACACAAAATGTCAGTTTGACCTTAACCTCGGAGTCTGTTTTGCTCCTCACATGACACATGCGCACTGGCAGGGGGCTCACGTAACAAATACCCACAGGCCTCACATGTATGAGCGGCCAGCGGGTCCTGTGTGGTTGACTGTAAACACCACAGTGTGTACTGTGGCAGAAAGCAGCCCGCCGGCTGCTCTCGGGCACCATCGCAAACACTTTTTTTTTGGGCCTCGAAGTGCGAGTGTGAGGAAAAAAACCAGCCCGCCTCGCATCAACCAGTCGGGGTACGAATGCGCTCGTCGCCATGGAGACCACTTCCCATGTCTTAACACTTTCGTGGTGGAGTTTTTGGTGCGTGTGGGAGCACGCCGCTGTTATCGCCGTTTTCGGCTCCATCAGAAGTGTCATGATGATCTCATCCTGACCACCTGTTGCTCTAGATCTGTCATGCGAGCCTTAAACGCACAAACCACACGCACACTAATGCAGACATGCTAATTATGAATACAATGCGAAGGCAAAACAGTTTAGCTTTATCTGTGGACTCTGATAGCTCTTGCTCTAGTCTTTTGGCTTTATCTTGAAATAGGTTCTTCCAACTCCAGGATATTCCTGAATTGAATTTGACCTTGTTTTTTTGTTTTTTTAATGAAAGCAGTGCTGTATATTTTTCTTTTGCATTTAATTTGATTTAATATAAACTATTGCTAAACTTCAACAAACTTTCTAAAGAGAGCTGGTGGTGGGAAATTTTTCCGGGCGAGAATGGTGTTGTTTTAAGCAGCTTTGGGACCACAAAAAATAAAAAGGATAGGCCAAAGTTTAACCCTTCAATGAGAGCCGTGAAAATTTAGTTTCAACCCTGGAGGATTTATTGAGGGATGATAGAAGACAGTTTTTCTTTTAAAAGTATTAGGCTATCCTCTGCAAGCATGATCAAAGAAATAAGATTAAAAAACGACTGATAACCTTAAATGACCCTTTGTTGTCAAATCAACACAAGGCCTTCCATAATGTTACATCAGGTGTAACCATCACCAAAGGGAAAAATTTGGCTGCTTCTGGCTGATTCCTCAATAAATGCAGCATGTGACATATCTAAGTACGGTAGTTTAACCCTTGCTTATGGACTTTACTCTATTGGCTTGACATATAGGGGATTTATTTTTAAATTGTGGAAAAATGATCAACAGGTTTTCTTTTTAAGCCAAGATGGGCTAAAAATCCCTAAAATTAATGTTAATTAATGTGTGCAGCCACATAAAGTGTTTGAAAAGAATGTGTCTTAGACATTAGAATATTTCTCCATTATATCCATAAACAGCTCAAGAGAGTGTACAGTGTTTGGGTGGACACCCACAGTCTTCCATCCCTCACATAGATAATGTTAAATCAATAACTACTTGGGCAATAGGATACTGGAAGAAGCCTTAGCAAAGTGCCACAGTACAAAGTTCCTTTCAAAAAGTGCCACTTTCACCTTAAACGTCACAACAAAGAAGTGATAGTTTGAAAACCTATAAACCCATTTTGTTTTGGATTTAAAAAGTTACTGCCCGTTAGTGTTTATGAGGCCAATGGGTCGATGTGGAGGGGAAAATTAAGTATGACGGTGCAGAGAGGTGGAATGCAGTGTCCTTGTATGAGGACGCTGGGTCTCGGGAGGCTAAAGGAGCATCGAGATTCACAGCACAGCTCTGCGATGGCGTTTTTGACCTCTTTAAACCTCTGTGACGGAAGCATTAATCCTGCATTAAAGGGAATACAAATTTTAATGTGACATGGGCCAGCCTCGGGGGGGCATCTCTTCCTGGGAAGCGTATGCATTTTTCAACGAGAACACACAAAACCACTCTCTGCTCTGGCTTTATGAGATGAAAAGACCAGCCGTGGTGGAACGTTTACTGTCCCGGGTTTGTGTTTTGGAATGTTTCTGCAGGCGTGAAATATAGAAAATGAAAAATACATGAAAAAAGGTTTTTCTTCATTTGGATGTACTGTAGATCTAAACTTTTTCCTGATCAGGAAGACTTGTCGCCAACAGAGAAATGCCAGAGATTTCTGTCTGAGTTGTTTCATTTATTTTTGCAGTATTTCAAGGCGTGTGTGGCTAGGGCTTATTGGAGGCTCTAAAGGGAAATATGAAAAGAAAAACATGTCAACATGATGCTGTTTAGCACGTCTGCGTCCGTTCAAACTGGTAGAATTTAATTTCGAGAGAGCAGACATCAAACAACGCTCTATATTTGAGAAGACTTTCACCTGACCTGAAAATTATACCTATTGTCAACATTTTAAGCAAGACTCTTTTTAATATCAGAGTTTCACAGTCACAAATACTGGATCAGAGCAATGCTGCACATTCAGCATTAATTTCAATCAAAGCATGAAGTCATGTTAAATACCTCTAATCCATGATTTGGTGTTTGTTTTTTAACCTAGCTAATTTCTGATCCTGTGATACTCTTGCATATCCTACTCATTAGAGGTATAGCCAGTTTTTCTTCAGCCATGTCCTTGTTAAATAAGGCAATATAAGCCCAAATCATGAGTCATCCCACTGTTGATTCACATCCATTACTTCTCAGGATTTTTACCTCAATTGAAAATGTTTTTTTTTTATATACAAAAATGTGTTTTGTTTCTATGCACCACTTCCAACCCTTGCAACTTTCCCGAGAAAGTCTTGCCGGCATGTTACAGCTTTGTTGGCTGTGACCATTTTCATTTTTAAAAAATAGTTATTTAAGCGATTTGTTGGAACAGAGAAGTTGCAAATCTTTTTAATCTGTTTTTTCCTCATGACAAAGCTGACAAGCTGGCAGCAGCCTCTGACCTTTAAATCTCAAGAGCTCAACCCCCCTCGAGAATTGCAAAGCTTTGCATGACGCTTTACTTTGTTTCCACTCTAAAATTGATAAAAACAAAAATAACACGATGATCTGCTATTCCATTATTTCATTGGACCAGTTCTTTTCTTTTTTATGGACAAATGTTATCTGTTCACAGTAGGAGTGATGTAGAAAACAACATGCCAGCAGAAGTTTAAGCATGTTTCCACATTTCTGGCTTTTTAACCCTCCTGTGACCATGTGAAAGCTGGGGGGAGCTCCAGCTGGAATTGTACAGAAAAAGGAGGGAATTTGGAGCCTGAGGATTGGTCTAATAAGCTGTTGTTTGCAGTTAAAGGAAACTCTGTGGGAAAAAAGTTAGCTCAGTCCTAAATTAGAGTGATAAAGAGAGACTTCCTCTCCTGTCTTTGGGTTGAAACTCTCCTGGGTTCTGCTGGGTTTTCCCCTTCTGCTGTGGGCAACAACAAAGGGACCACTGGGTGTCACCACAGAGGCGTGTGAAGTTTACTGTCAGGATGGAAATCTAGGCAGGGGTTTGTGTCTGTTGCCTTGTTGTTTTACTCAGACTTATAGATATTTTGATAGTGTGTGTTTGACCTCCACATTGCTTCACATTGGATGACAGTTGAAAGACTGATTCCGCAGCATTCTATGGGAATAAATACCCAATAATAACTAGTGAAAAGAGGTTGTTTATCAGCACTTATATTCATAAGTGAATTTTTGCAAGTTTGATATTATAACTTGGGAAAATGTGTTGTTTATCAGCACTTGTATTCGGAAGTGATCTTTTGCCAGTTTAATATTGAAAATGCTTTTTAAATAGGTTTCGCCACACAAAAAGGGCGCATGAAAGTTGATTCAAATGCTCTTTACAATAACTTGACAGCAAAAGGGAAAAGAGAACCATCACCAGATCTTGGTCGGTAATTACTGTGGATGGGCATTGTTTGG